AATGAGCGGCGAGAACACAGAGGTGGTTAACGACGCCCTTGGTCATCCGTAACAACAGAGCAACTACAAATGCGTTGCCGGCCTTTGAGGAAATGATAGGTTCGCTTCTTGAAGGACTCGTATTGGTTTGGAAATACCGTCAAGGACAGACCGTTCCGCAATGCGACTGTGGCATAGACGTAGAACTAGTCTGAAAGAACGCATAGGCTACTTACATTTGTTTTATTATAATTCCACGAGGACGGAGTCGCGGGCGAAAGTTAGTTATTATATAAATGTAAAAGTTTGGATCTTTAAATATACTTAATAGATCTCGATGAAATTTGACGCGTATGTAAAACATAACCCAAAAGTACACATAAACTACTTACTACGAAGTTAAGTCTTGAAAAAAGAATACTAAAAATACTGATACTTTGATGAATCTCTTTAAGTATTGTTTCTTTTTAAATCAAACACCAGTATCGCAATTTCGCAATACGTCTGCTTACTGCTTGAAAACACAACAGTATCATTGTACTCCGTTTGGTGTAAGAACTGCTAACGCCATCTAGCGACGTATCAACGTTATTAAAAATTCTTAATATCTGCCTTTAGTTTATGAACAGGGAGAAACAATGAAATTGGTCTTTATATTCAAACTTTGAAGATTTTACGATTATATGAAAAATTTCGTATTGATATATTGTATATGATCGATAACATTTACGATTTGCTTCGTAAAGTGCATAATGAAGACAATTAAAATTGACAGTACACTTCATCAGTCGAATCATTCAATACTTGTATCCTAATATATCTTGGTATTTCCAAACTAATACGAGAAGCGAGCCTATCATTTCCTCAAAGGCCAGCAACGCATCTTTAGTTCGTCTGGTGTGATGTCCATGGACGTCGTTGATCATCTAATGTTCCCGCCGCTCGTTTGCCCACTTTTATTATAAAAAGTGCCGGCGTTAGGATCGCGGTTGTCGATCGCCCAGGGCGCTTAACAGAAAGTGGCGTTATGTGTCTACAAATAACTTATATGATTCGTCGCTCATTCGCTAAGATTTGCCCGTTACCAGTATCTTCAAACTATGGGTGAAAACAAAGTCTTCACCGCCTGGGGGTATGTTTATGATTAAAAAGAATATTGTTTTTAAAAGAAGAACTAATGTCATTGTCATTATTGCTTTTCTATTAAAAATGGTTATCAAGTATTAAATTTTATAATTCCTGTATTTCATTTAAACAACTCGTAACTCGAAACATTCTCTTAGTCATCATAAAAAGGGCGCCTTCGAGATGTCGCCCAGGGCGTTAGTAGAACTAAAAACGGCACTATATTTACTATATTTTTTGGGTTTAGACGCCGCCATTTTCTACGCTACTGTGGACATACTTCGGAAGCTAGTAGCGGTTAACACGGCGTGCGGGGAATACTTGCGCTGAATTACGTGTTATTATTATTATTTATTGAAAATATTACATGACACAAATTAAAAAATATGCACAAATATGGCCCCGCAAAAACCACATAATTGGTTTGTCCGCGGGTGCGCTGGTTTTTTTTTGTGTAGAATTACATAAAATACATACTTATATAAATAAAATATTATATATACTGTATATAAATAAAATATTCTGTTCAAGGGCTATTATCAAAAAGATGGCTTTCCAAATGTTTAACAAATAGTTTAAACTTTGAATTTAGATTTGCTATTTCAGGTGTGCAGCGGGTGTTTTAGTAAATCGCGGGGATATTTCGTTTACCAGATATATCGCAGTAATTCGGAAACTACTATATTACTATACTACAGTAGAACCGCGATAAGTTGAAGTTCAAGGAAAAAACAAAATATCTTAAGTTATAGAGGTTTCAAGTTGTCAAGGGTCTATGTTGTAGAGGTTTTGTACTCTGATGGGAAAGGATCATTATTTTTTAAAATTACCGAGGTTTGACTTATCGAGGTTCTACTGTAGTTACAACGAATGTTCTAAATACATTTAACAGTGGTAGTGCCCGCTTTAACATCTATCACTGCAGGGCCGGCACGCCCGGTGTAATACCCCACAGAAGACAGGCGTCAAATGGAAGCAATTCCGTGTTTCGTCTGATCAGTGTGGTGCCGGAGGCCTAATTTAAGTCCCTTTCTCTTTACCGCCCTTTTCTTATAAGGAGAGGATGGGAACGGGAAGTGGATTTGACGGTGGAGGAGATGCATAGGAAGGGGAAATATCCACTTTAAGTGTGTCTCCTCCTCCGTCGAATAAGGGTAAGCAACGCATCTGCAATTGCGGATCTCTATGGGCAGCGGTCGCTTCGCCATTATGGCGGATTTAGGTGGCCGCTTACTCGTTTGCTACCTTATGTTATAAAAAAAATACGTATATTTACGTGACCCGCGCTCCAGCCATAGACTGCAAATATGTAAAGAAACGTTCCCCGCATGCTATCAAATATTAATGATGGATAGAATACTGTGACAAACAAAACTGTAGAGTAACATTTGGTATATGGTTTACCAGTTCAGTAACTAAAAAGCAATGGGTAAACTAATTAAAAATAGATTACTCGATCACGGCACCGGAATAACATATTAGGAACCCGTTTAGAAGTCGTTATCGACTGTTTTTTTAAATGAGTTTAAACAAGCTAGTATTAATATTACCTAGGGAATAAATAGCAACTTATCCCTAGTTAGCATTACGCTAGTATATTAGTTGAGTAGGATATAGTAACTATACGTGTTTAAACAATAAAAATGTCAATCAAAATCAATACGAGAGTATTTAAACTTGTAAGTTTTAGTTTTTACAAATGTTTGCAAGACAGGGCACAAATAATCCAATCGCGGTAAGAAACCAGATTTTCAAAAACTTCTTTTAGCTATTAAATTACTCGGGACTAAATTAAATTACTAGCATACTGTGAACTAAGTATTAGGATTCCTAACGAGTATGATTGTATGAAATAAAATGTGTGATTTATCTGAATTTGTGGTAATTTTCCTTGTTTTTCTAAAATTTACTCACTGTTAGAACTTAAAACGACTTGAGTATCGTTATTTAAAATCTCGGGCTAACTTGAGATCGAGGAAATAATTCTTACTGCCAACATGTAACCACGAGACCGTTTTAACTTAGTCGTAAAGAACTGAACTTGTGAGAATATAAGATTGTAATTTAACACTTATTTCAATGGAGTAAGAATTATATTACAGTGTACTGGTCCTTCGTATGTTGTAAAGGTTTGTTTGTGGTTTATTTTTGGCTGCGGTAGGCGGTCGCTCGGATGTATCGTAGTTTTTTTTGTTTAAATCTTTTTTAACGATGGTTTTTGTGGCCCTCGGCAACGTCTGCAGTCAGTCCGTGCTTCCGGCTATTGTGAAGAAAATAATCGTTTTTAATTAAGAAATGACGATAAGAATAAAGATTTTAATTGGCACCTGTGAGTTTTTTTGTATTTGATTTTGTTAAACAGCATATAGAAAAGTTATCTATGATTGTGTGCAGTTCATTTTATCATTTTAGTAATATAAAACCCCATTTTTTTTAAAAACACCCTTAAATAAGAAGATATTCCATTGTATAAGTATTACAAATCGTATAACTTTAAGTAATTTTAATATAGTAGAAGCAGAGATGCCCGTTGCTAATTAAATTTAAAAATAAAAACTACGAAATTACTATTGACTCCAGACTAGTAACGCCATCTATGAGAATGTATGCGAACGATTTGCTTTAGCGACGTGCTTCGTGACGTCGACCGTCATGTTGACAGATGAGCGGGACGCAGAACGTGCGAGCGAGACAAAACAACAACAAATGAGGTTTTCATCGATTGTTGAGGGACGCCAACGCGCATGGCAATGTTAACACATGAACAATTTCTGAATGATTACTTGTGGCATTACGGTTAAGGTCTTTTCCTCAAGATCAAATGTAAAGGAGCTAACATATTTTAAGATTACTCAGTTTGAGTTTATAAAGATGCACCCCTTAATATGTGTATTAGAAATTATCATCAAAAGTGTTCATTAGATACAGAAAGATACTATTGAATGATAGGTCACGTAATCGCACACTATGATACACACAAAAAATCTTCAACGAATGCATCCTTCTCTTTCTAACATCATCAATTACCATAATCTCTTTTCATATTTCTCACTCATTGTTTTTATACTCGGAAATTGCCTGTTGATTTTCAACTCTATTGCGTACTATTGTTTATTTTAAATCAACTACTGTTAAAACTGCAAATTAATTTTAATTTCTAAACTAGATTTCACACATCAGTGAATGTTTAATACTTCGTAAAAGCATTGTTTTGAAATACTTTTTGTTTCATAATGGTGTGGTACATAAAACCACGTTAATTATTTTTTAATGCTCTATGTTTTTCTTCTGTTTGAACTTGTTTTAATTGAAAAGGTATGACGTAGCACAAACATATAAAGTTCAGTTGCGAATCGATCTCTACAAATGTTAACTCACAAGAGATAGAGTTTCCACGATATAAGGTTTATTAAAAGTTAAAATGCAGCCCTTAGATGTTTTAAAACTTAATATTTATCTATAAATTATTACATTATGCTCTAATTTGATTACCTAATTATATTAATTTTTACATCTATTGTTATTGCGATCTATTTTAGTGGAATTAATACAAAAATTATTTTACATTGCTGTTTAAAACTATATTATGTATACACTATCTACTAAAACATTCCGCATGTTCGTATAATAAAAATCGTTAGAAATATCTTGAGATGAATCCGGGAAATTAATTTCCGTTTACGATAACCCTCACGCACACCAGCATAGTATCATTGGGTGACCTTACGCACACAGACGTAAGTACATAGTTCATACACGAGGGTACTTTTATTGCGATAAACGCACACATACAAGACCAGGGACGAGGGAAATTCAACCCTAAGAGCGTGGTTTTCTCTGCAATGTGTCTTTCAGTTACCGATCCGCGAGATAACCTCAAAATTTCGACATTACGTTCGACACGGAACATGTTTTCTGCTCTTAAGAGACTGTATTAAAAACACTAATGTGGACTTGTGCTTTTACGTGTTAATTTGTGTTATGTGGGCGTGAATGCCGAATTTGGAATTGAATTTTTATCACATTCAGTCGTGTGTTGAAATTTCGTGTCGCCCCATTGAAAGTACAATGTCGCGTGATTTCTCGCAAGATATTTTATGATAGTGTGTGAACGATTGTTTAAATGTTTTCGAAGGGGTTCATCTTTAAATAGAAATGAGCGTAAGTACTGAAAATTTATTTTGTAAATCGTGTAATACGTATAGCATATTATCATTTGCGTCAAACTGTATATAGTAAAATATATACAGTCAAAGTCAAAGTGTGTTTTAACATAAATATAGTTACGTAAAATTAATTGTTAAAACAATTGTTTAATTCATACAAAAAAAAATCTATAGGAAGGTATAATATTTTATCTCTTACGGACATTGTTTGAATTTAAAAGGTCTATGAATATCATTTATACTTTACTAAAATCACTTCATAATTTCAATTTAATTTCCGAACGATTTACTTTTGTTCACGACTTCATACGCGCGGAATTTTTATAAACAAATCATCAAATTATACAGTCGGTTTCCTTTCTTATAACATCGTGTTTATTAAATAAAATAATTACACAACAGTGGAAATCTACTTTTAGAAATTCATATCGACTGCAATAAATCAGCAAACAAACGTACGTAGATAAGCAATCATAAAAGACAAATAAAAATCAATAGCTTCTGAATAGGTTCAATTAGTAGGGGATGACGTATTGTATGTAGGTGGGAGGTAGGTGTAGGGGGTTAGTTGGAGTAGGAGGTACACCAGTTGAATGCAGACCGACATTGACCCACATTTACACAATCCCATAGTATAATAACTAGTGATGTCCTCAGTATCGATACAAAGATGTCATTATTTTTATCTATCTCATCAGTATTTATTTAATTTTATTTATCATTTCGGCATACATTACAAATAACGAATAAGCTGTTTTATATTTATTTGACACTAAAATTTTGATTTATATACTTTAAATATGAATTTTATTTGCAGTACCTATACAATAATTTGGATAGGTATAATGTTCTGTATTCATTAAACGCATAGAAAAAAAATTGTAGAAATAAATGTATATAGTTGTTAGTACGGTTAGTGTTCTTCTTTAGTTTTTTAGTTTTTAGTATACGAGTAAAAAAAAAGTATATGTATTTTACCGTAAGGGAAATAAAGCTATCTTTATCTTTACTTAAATACATAGCAAACTATTTTTGTTCCCTCGGTTTACCATTTCATTTTGTTAAAAAATCGACAAAAGAAAAGACGATGTATTTTGGTTATCTCTAAAATTTAATTCTAACATTTGAAATCAATTCATTACAAGAATATCGATATTTGTACAATAACATCACTTAAGTTATGTGTTCACCATTGACTCGCCGCTCCTTTATCATATGTAAATATAAGCTTATTGTCTGTGTGTTATGGAAATTAAGGTCTGTGTCACGTTACGCGTAATAAGAAACATAGCTTATATAAAACTGTCTTATTTTCGTTTTATGAAAATGACAAAACTATTTGGATCAAGTGATTTATGTTGTGTATATTTCCTTAACAGAAATGATTACTTTAATAAATTTAATTTATATTTACTTAAAGATATGCCTGTTTATAGGAAACCGTTAGTTTTCATTTTCTAAGTATCTGTAAATATAGTGTTAGTGGTGAAAAGATGTGTTTTAAATTTTTTTTATCGTGAATAATATAATCTGTGTTTAAATACTAATTTAAATAATACGTGGTCAAATAGATTTCTCGTAAATCATGGACATCTATAATATCCGGTTCAAACTTGCTGAAACATTCTGTACTCGCGTCAGAATGAGAAAATTCTCCCGAAACATTCTGACCCAATTCTAAGAGTCATTGATAGATGGCGCTCTAACAAATTTTATATCGGAAATGTTCGGGGTAAATTGAAATAGAGCTTTCTTCTTTTTCACACACAAAAAAAACAATGAATGTTAACATCATACTATACTTATATTATAAATGCAAAAGTTTAGATGAATGGATGGATAGATGTCCAGTTTGTAGACAAAACGGCTGAACGGATTTCGATGAAATTTGGTAAAGATTTAGAGGGAAGTCTGGAAGATCACATAGCCTACTCACTTTTGTTTTTTTAAATCCACGCGGTCAGAGTCGCGGGAGAAAGATAGTTACAAATATTAACATCATTACATAGATATTGTTGTATAGCTCAGTAATGTACACAAAAACTCTTGGTTAAGAAAATGGCAACTGTACCTACAAATACAGAGTTAAATTAGAAGAAATAATTAATTTTAAATTATCTATTTTACTATTTGACTTCGAATCGACTATCTGATTGCCTTTTCCGATCTATGTCATTGTTGATGTTTGGTTTATTATGATAAGCGATGAGACATGGCCGCAGTAATGCATTGCACGGGGTTACGATGAATATCATTACGCCATTGTAGGAAGGGACATCAGATAGCGTAGCACGCGTCCCGATGTAATGGGGCGTAAAGAGTATTGTTGCTTCACCCTACACTTACGTAGCCCATCCCTTTATTGCTTGGTAAACAAAGACGCTTTCGAAATGGACTGACACTTGAAATGAAAAAAAAGATCGATAGATTTGAATTTCGAATGTTATTTAAACGAAAAAAGTACTATATTTCCAAACCAATACGACTTAGGGTCCTTCAAGAAGCGAGCCTACAATTTCCTCAAAGGCCGGCAACGCATCTGTAGTTCCTCTGGTGTTGCGGATGTCCATGGGCGTCGTTGACCACCTTTGTGTTCCCACCGCTCGTTTGCCCCCTTCTCTTATAAAAAAAAAAACTATAAAAATCTGGTTACGGCGTGATTTCCATATGTGATTGACTTTGTCTATTTATTTGGCGCCGTACTCAGAGTCCTGAAACAATCACTAAGGGCAATCAACTATGGTTAAAATTAGTAAAAAAATCGCTTTTATATAGATACCGTAGTTTTATCTTGTACATAAATTTTTAAGACTGTCCCAGTAATAAAGGAAAACCCTAAATCCTTGTCGAGATCCGGTTTGATGATAAGATTTATTGCTAAGCAACAAGTTATATCGCCCTATACAAATATTATGACTTTAATTAAGGTCCTTCATAACCCTTATTATTCCCATATCTACGGACAGTAATCCATAATTATAGACATATGAAAATGGTACAAAACTTTACATTACATTCTAAGCTGAAAATTACTATTGAAGTAGGGATTACTGACTCCCTTTTTGAGTGACCCTTGCGTTATGGCTTCTTTGAAATAAACTTCGGCAGTTAAAAGGTTATCTACACTGATATTATAAAAAGAAATGATTTGTATTTTTGGATTTTTGTATATATTGAAACAACTCAAAAAATACTAGGCGAATTTCGAAAATTCTTTCATCATTAAAAAGCTACGTTATCAGTGAGTAATATAGGCTATATTTTTTTAATTTCACGCGACCGAAGTCGCGAGCAACAGCTGGTCTTCTATAATGGGTAATTATTTCCAGCAAGTGGCAACAGACGACAGCATGAGTGACGACGTGTTCGAAGAGGATACGCTGCGAGCGCCCGCACCGCGCAGCACTCCCTCCCCTACCGGTTACCCGGACTACCGGCCCCCCACTGAGACTCCGCGTAGTCTACTCGATGAAGACTTACCTATACACAAGGTAATGACCATCTATGCTCGGATATGATGAACTCTCATGCATAAACCTATCCAATGCCTTGTTATGTAAAACCATATTCTGTATCTGTTCTTTAAAATACGTCTCCATTTATGTTTATAAATAAAATATACTTACTAACAAGGAAAATAACAGTCGCAGGTTCTCAAAAAAATCGGGATAACACGAAAAAGATTTGATTTACAAAGTTTTTTTTTTTAATTTCACGTTGACTTTTCCGTTCTGCTAACATTTTTAATTAAATTAATTGTTACAGAAATAAACTTTACTGAAACTTTTCGAAGCAATACATGAACATAATCTTCAAATCTTAGTATTAATATATTTATTGTAATATTTGTGCAAAAAGTATTAAATAGATAAATAATCATGTTAACGCAGACGATCTTGCTGGGAGACAGCGGCGTGGGGAAAACTTCCCTACTCGTGCAGTTTGAGACGGGCAAGTTCCAGCCGGGCAACTTCTCAGCTACCGTCGGCATCGGATTCACGGTTAGTGGAATTAAAAAAAATATATAAAATGCACAGATTACTTAATAAGATTTTTTTTGTAGTAATCGAAAATTAATTCATTTATTTTTTTTATTAGTTTAAAATCCCGTTGTCAATCGTTACATAACCTATACTTGTAATAGTAAACAATAATTATCGTACTCTGCGTTTCATTCTTTTATATAAATTAAGGATAATTTTAGCGATAATCAAAATAAATTAGTTCACATTAAGGCGAATCGTTTCTCCTGAACTAAATAGATAAATAGATACGAAAGTAAGTTCGTATGGTTTAATGGCGCGCTCTTACGTACCTTTGTGAGCGATCTGATGTTTATGACGGAACCCACTTAGCGTTGTAACCTTAAATCCATAGAATAAGGTATGTGAAAAGGGTTTTTATCCTACAACTAGCTGGTGGTACTAAAAAGTAGCCTAAAATATGCCTGTCTATGTCAAATACCTTTTAGTAAAAGTCCGGTCCCAGCCGTTTCGGAGATTACCAGGAACAAACGCGGCTTGCGGACAGACCGACAGACAGACTTTTTTTTTCATATGCGATTTTCGTTATTAGCAATGCAAAAAAATATCTTCCCGAAATCTGGAATTTTACTTTTGATATTACAAACAGACACTCCAATTTTATTATATGTGTAGATAGTATGTTTTCCATTTTAATAATTATAGCGAGACATTAAAAAACTACTCTACGTAATAACAGAAATCAGAAATTGGTAAATAATATACAGGTTAAAGTAATTCATGTCTAGACTTTTTTATAAACAACAGCATTTTTATATTCTTTAAAAAATATGGCAGATAATAGATAAAACAATTTAGGTTATCTACTTTTAGACCTAGACTTTCAAAGGTCGGTCGTAATTTTCTGCGGTAGGAAATTTATGGCTTCTGCGTTCGTTCGGACAATGAAGACACACTTTGCCACTCAACTTTGCTTTTATAAATGTTTTATTTATATTTTACGGGAAACATAGATTACTATAGCCAAGAATTTTTATTTGAATTGTTTTTTAACATTATAGGCACAAAAAAAAATCACATAAAGTGTCGTCTCTAATGGTGGCTGCCCCACAAAAAGCGGGCGCATACCTTTTACTAAACCATCGCACTGTTATTCGATTGTCGATTGTCGATTGTTTCGCAGCCAATTCAACTGTTTAGTTGCACAACTAAAATCGATTAGTGTGCGCACCTCCATAAAAACTCATATGAATCATTGCAAAACTAAACAGTTGTGCGACAGTTTAGTAAAAGGTGTACGCACGCTCTAAACCTACCTCGATCTGGCGACAACTGTCACAAAACATCTGCAACAAAAAAGATCTCTTATTGATTTGATATAAAAATCTTACAGTTCAAAAACATTCTTTGTGAAATCTCTTCAACTTATGTCAGACCGCGGCCAATAGAATAAGACGATTTTGTCCTTATTAAATCTCAGGGATCAAGGACACCATCCCTATAAGACTGTTGGTTTAGGATCCTGGTTAATAGATAAGTCTTTTGAGTAGTCCTTTTATTCTAATACGCTCATTGGGAACTACATTTACCTTTTTTTTGCAACAAGGACTATAAGGATGTACGAACTATAACAAAGGAAACCTACGTAAGTATATGAAACACTAGGACCTAAATAATTCACATTAGTGAGAACTGCACAGGGAAATACCTCAGAGGTAGTTAAAGAGAAGAGATGTCCCTTAAAAAAAATGAAAAATAGTCGCACTGAGAGAGTGAGAGAGGGAGAGGGAATGACAGAGATAGTTATTTATTCATTTTATTTTTGAATAATAATTCCATTGTTTACAGTTAAGATAGTTTCAATCGTGTGTTAAGAATGAATATGGATGGCTACAAAGGAAGAGGAAGACCGAAGAAAGTATGGATGGATTGTGTGAAAGAGGATATGCTTAAGGAGTGTATTCAGATATGATGGCTGATAGAGATGTATGGAAGAGCAGCACATACTGTTTTTCAATCGTGTTGTTTACTTTTCGAAAAGTTGTCGAGAACGAAAATTGAGTTTAATTCCCCTTCGAAAATAATTTCTGAGATAAAATTAATTAAATAGAGTGACGTTGAAAATGAAACTCCCAGCAGATATCGTCGGTCAACATTTTTCTCTTTACGTCACGATCAGAGTTTAGTTCATTTTCGGATACATTTGTGCAGATTTCTGGCTTGCACATTTTTGTCAAATATTTATTGTAATGCAGTTAACGTTTTCATAACTTGCTAACGGATATTAAATTCGTGAATGCCGGCTCCTCAAATCTAACCGGCGCGCTGTTAACTTACAAGTTAATTACTTAAACTTTGATCCGTAAGCCGTAAATTGACGCCATGTTTGTTTTCGGCTTTGCTTCCGGCGACTGATGGATCGCTTTTTAAAAAGTTTTATTACAAATAAATTCATTAATCTTAACTCTGATGACAAGTTATCAAAATTGTAAAGAGTTTGTTAAGCATTAATTAAAATTAACAAACGAATTAATTTTAATTATAAAAGTTTATTTATCACTTTCGATAAATGTTCATAATGTAGAAATGAATTAAGAAAACATAGCGCAGTAAAATCACTCCCTACTGCGAGTTCTAAGTGACCACGCGTGTTATTACCGCCACCTACTGTGCGAAAACACAGCTACATTAAAATGCTTTACTCGATTTCTATAAACGTATGTATTTGTTGTAACTATAGATAAATAACAATAACAATTACAATACAATAATAGTTACAACACCAAAACTTTTATTTGGTCTAAAGTTCTCACAAAATATTCAATCAAAACATTTCAATGGATAACTAGCGACATCTAGCGATTGAAACACAAAAACAACAATGTCAAACCAGAAGTACCATGCGAAGCCGGGGAATTCTGTTAAAAGCCGAATGAGTGGTAACCCTAGTGAACCGACCTTATGAGATAATTACTTAAAGCTTTTGAGTCACACAATCTAAAGCGCTATTTACTGCCTTTGCTTCTAAACTTCATCTTGAGTGATAATGCGAAGAACATTTACGTACCATTTCGTGTAATTTTATTACGTAACCTTTTCTTAGAGTGTTTTTCTTTAATTTTTCATTAAAGTGATTCATTTTATTATTGTCACTGAGAAAAAATGTACTTTCACAATTTCAATTTTACTTTAAGGATTTTCGGCCCTTTCAAAGTACTATTTAGGATTACTAAGATAAAGTAAAGAAAGGACGGCCTAATGTAACGAAGGCCAATTTACTTCGGTTTTATTTGTTAGGAGAATGTATTCTACTTTTTTCTAAGACATTGATGGTTTTTTGTCTTTTAAACTAATAAGATACGATAGCGTTAGTAGATCTCAAGATAGTCTAGGAGGACTAGTAAAGTTAATACAATGCTTTTATTCATTTAAATATTTGATATTTAACAAATCAAGATCTCAATTTTATCTATACAGTAGGTATATCAAATCTTATACAAAAAATAAGTATTTAATTTATGCCTTATTACCTATTTTTTAATCCCAAATCTACTACAGTTTCCTAACTATATATACTTAATGTATTTAAGTACTGTTGATTCCATTCTAAATAATTATTTTTAGACAATAATATTTATTCCGAGTTTTTGCAACTGAAAAAATATAGGTAGAGTTTTTTCGCTGAAATATTTAGTAACACATTTTATATTTTAATAATTAATTGCTGTAAGGGATATCGGATCCGCTCACACCTCAATACGGTTGCCGAAGTAACGAGCGAGGGGTTGAAGGGTGCTCGGAGGGGGGTGCGTCCCTAGACGGGCAGGAGCGGTCTAGGATTTACGAGCAGTCGCTGGTTGACGGGCCACGCCGACGCTCCCACGGGACGCTTGCTGGTTGATTTCCCGCGAAAAGTTTCGTTTCACGCGCACCAAAATTATCTTTTATTATAAAAAAGTGTTTTAAAGCGATTACAAATTTGGATTTTTTTAATTTTCACGTTTTTACGGTTTGTATTTTTTTTTATTAGAGTTTTGGCGATAGGTAAACGTTTTAGATGCAGATCTTTGATTGATGTATTAATTTATTTTTATTATTATAGTCATACATTTGTATAATTAAAATGTAGTCTACACAAAGGAAGCAATTATCAAGATGTTACGCCAGAATTTAATTATATTTACAACCCTTACCAATTTTCGGTTTTAATTGATATACGTGTAATATGAAATTATTTCTCTACCAAAAGCTACAATTTCGCGGCACGAAGCTATTAGAATCTCTGAAAGAACACTGAATAAGTAGACCAATTTCTTATCCAAGAAAATCAATGAAACTTTAAGGTAATCATACTAATATTATAAATGCGAAAGTATATTGATGTTTGTTATAGTTTTTATTTTAAACATCTGAACGGATCTCGGTAAAATTTGGCATAGACGTAGAGGATAGTCTAAGTGAAAGAACATATTGGCTACTCACATTTGTTCTTTTTATGTACACACAGCCGGAGCCGCGGGCGAAAGCTAGTATCAAATATAAAAATCAATTACTTCTTACAGAATAAGCCAAATGCTGGATATCTTTTTTCTGATAGAATTTCTCCGTTTAAACACAGAAATGGTTATTCTTACTATCCACTGTAATTATTTAATTTAACAGGAGTCAAATATATTTACTTTTAATTATGTATATAATTGTCAAGATAAAAAATGTACCTACTCTCAGTATATGCGTTAGCAATTTGAACCTGAATCTGGTTTTGACGTGCCAATTATCGGTGCCATCAAATGTCAAGGGCAGACACAATGGACAAATTGTTTGAACCTAGTTATCGCAACATTAAACTACTAGCTTTTACTCGCGACTCCGTCCGCGTGGAATTAAACAAGTAAATAGCCTATGTGTTCTACTAGATTATCCTCTACATTTATGCCAAATTTGAGATGTGCTCAGCAGTTTAGGCTACAAACTTTAACAAACATCCATCTAAACTTTTGCATTTATAATATCAGTAA